AAAGAAATAACCCATGTTGGCTGTGACTATGGAAAGCTGTGGGAGATGAGAGAAGAATCTGTTGAGTCTGGAAAGCATCTAGGCAAAATTTTTGAAAGAAGAGGTACTGGATTTAAAAGAAAGTGGTAGAAAAAGCATCACCAAGTTGGAATTGAATGACAGCGAAATCTTGACTTGGTTCTGAGATTCGAAGGCAGTTTGTGGCCTTAAAAAGAATAGTATTATTTAAAGAGTGGGGATCAAGTAATGAGTCAGCTGACTTGGAAATGAAAACTGGATGAATAACCTTTTAAATGCATGATTATTATGTCAAAATACACCATGTCAACATAAATGTCTGTATAACCATCTACTCTTATAAATAACTTTCAAATCTACTGTTTAAGATAAAAAAAAGAGACATTCCCTACATGAGAGTAAAGTTATGTACTCTTTCTCATTGAATAAAACTTGAGTGATATTGTTTTAACAGTATATTTTTCAATGTAGTTATTTTTCTAATACAGAAATGTAAAGTACTGTACACATTTGTTTACAACATATAAAGTGCATTCCAGACATTTTGTAGTTATTTCAATGAATCTCTGGGTCAAAGGAATAAAATACATCCCTCTATTAAGGCATGTGTTCATTACACTTTTATTTGTAACTGCTACTATATCTGGTGCTGGTTATAAAGAAATAAAGGGTGAAATATATGCTCTCCAGAAGACTATTTAAATAGAGGGCCAGGCAAGCAAATGCTAAATAAATTAGAATGATAGAGGAATGTCATGGAAGCTTATAAGGGAGCCCTTTGTAAGGGGTGATCAGGGCTGGCAGCTGCCACTCACATCTGCTGATGTTGTCAAGCAATCTCAACTATCACCAGGTGTTGGCAGCAGTTGTGAGCAGTGGCTCTGGAGCTGGCAGCGGGTGTGAGTGGAACCATCACTGGCAGCAGGTGTGAGCAGTGGTTGCCAGCCCCGATTGCCCCTAAGGAACAGGAGGAGGTAGAGAAGCCTTGACTGGCAATTGGGGCCAGCAGCCACTGCTCCCACCCACTGATGGCGCTGAGCAATCAGGGCTGGCACTGGGCACCAGTAGCAGGTGAGAACAGAGCCAGTGCTGGCAGCAGGTGTGAGTGCTGGGCAGGACAATGGAGCGTGGGAAAAAAGAATTTTCAGTAACCACCAGAGGCTTGCCCCAATGACAGCAGCTGGCACCCCACCTTGGCCTGGTGTCCCTGCTCACCTGCTCTACCATCCTGTCACAGCCAACGTGTGCCCTCCGGTGGTCAGCACACATCATACCGACAGGTTCTCTTGTTCAGTTATCTGTTGCTCAGTTGTTCTGTTGTTTCACTGTTGGGTCTATTTGCTTATTAGAGTTTTATATATAGTATAGGTGTCATCCCAATCAATTCAACAAAATTAAAAAAAAATTTCTGAAAAAGAAAAAAAAAAGGTTTATAGGAACAGACAATGTGAAATCTTCAAGGACCAAAGGTAGTTGTTTACCAGGATCACAACTACTAATGAATGAGAGAATTGAAGTTTCTCAGGATGGAGCCAGTTTTATTGGGTTGTAGTCACTAATCCACAAAGACTGAAGAAATAACTCACTAAATGTGACCAGGAAAGAGTTACTGTATCATATCATGCCAAATTTTCTACTAGTACTTAGGCCTGCGACAGAATCTGAATTAATGTATTTTCAACTACCTTGATAACATGCTGTATTTAATAAATGTTTTCCAATATAATTTTTGTTCTACCACCTCATTTCATATCTACCTTGTACTTTTTAATAAGTGTGTTATAGATGAGCTTAAAAAGCCATGAATAACCTTGGACAGAGAATTGTATATTAATACCTTCCTTGACTTACAGCCTTAGAACATAAGCTTTCAAATAATGATTGGAAAAAAACTCCCATTTAATTGTTCTTAGCTCTGTTGTTTGCATTATTCATGTGTACGGCACCTTGCAATCCTAGTCTATGTTGTTCTGCAAGGGTGGATTTGCTATGGGTTCTACCCACTCCCAGCAAAGCTATGATTGACTATAACTCAAAACTACCAGATGGCTGTCTATAATCAAACAGTAATGTAACAGAGAAAGATTAGTCCTGATTTTTAAATATGATGCTAAGCTTTTGCAAACCTATTTCAGGGTAAGCTCAGTTTATTGATTTATGTTATCACATACATAAAAATAGAATGCTGTGATATTGAAGTGGTGGGTCTACCTTTGTCAATATTTACTGTTGTGAGAAAATGCAAATGTGGCCTCAACTCATCTTGTAACGTGTGTATGTTCACTTGCTTGACCAAAAGTAAGTTTATCTACCCATGCATGTAGAACTACAATGAAAACTTTCTTTGATTCCATTCATGAGGTAGAGCCAGGCTCCTTTTCCTTGCTCTCTTCAGTCCTCATTCAGAAGATTTGTGCACTTATTGGATTGGAATTCTTTGTTTATCCTTGTCCCTTCTGTGAGCTCGTTGAGAGGAGGAGAAAGGTTTTATTTATTTATTTATTTTTTATTTTATATTTGTGTCTCCAGCTACAAGGCACAATGCATTTGTTCAATGAATGAATGAGGTTGAAATCATGGACCCAGCAATTATAATTATCCACAAGGTCTTCAGTATTAACTTATATCATTAGTGATGGGTCTAAAAAATATTTTCAAATGCAATTTGTTTGCATAAGAGAGTCCAATTTTTATGTTTTGTTAAACAGTGCTAAGCAGGTGGTACTCTTAAAGCCTTCTGCATGGGCATTTGACTACCCAATTCCATGGATTAAGAGAAAATTGATAACTGGATTTTCTTTATTTCTTAAACAAAAAGAACGAAATTTTAGTCATGCAGATGCCACTTATTTAGGTAATGTGTCCTAGAAGATAATTTTCCCCCCTCAAAAATATATGCCCTTGCAATTTAAAGTTGTTTCCAAATAAGTTTTATGTGGCATCAGGAATGTCTTGACATCAGCTCCTCCTGCTTTCCTTGAAGGCTTTGAAGGCCATGTGCTTGTATGTCTGGTTCTGCAGAGACACATCACTGCTCATCACCTATCTTCTTGCCAAAATCCTGCACATTTTTGTTCTGTTTTCCTTCCATTGCATTCACATAACCCCCTCCCCCCCACAAAAAATTAATTTATGTACAGTATCTGCCTTTTCAATACCTATCCCAAAGCCACTTAATATCACTGGAGAAAATAAACTGGGCAGAGTAATCCATACATTTATGTCTCCACTTCTCCTGTGCCTTTGATACTACTGTGTAGCTCACCTGTCTTTCTCTAGTCAGTTCTTTTTTCTTTTTTTCTTTTTTTTATCGATTTCAGAGAGGAAGGGAGAGGGAGAGAGAGATAGAAACATCAATGCTGAGAGAGTATCATTGGTGGCTGCCTCCTGCACGCACCCTACTGGGGCCTGAGCCCATAACCCAGGCATGTGCCCTGCCTGGGAATCAAACTGTGACTTCCTGGTTCATAATAGGTCAATGCTCAACCCCTGAGCAACACTGGCTAGGCCTCCAATCAGTTCTTACTCTCATGCTTCACAAATGTTATTATATTTCATGCTCCAACACTTTTAAAGTTCTGACTCCACCAAAACCTGTTTTCTCTCCCCTCCCTCCCTCCCTTCCTTCCTTCCTTCCTTCCTTCCTTCCTTCCTTCCTTCCTTCCTTCCTTCCTTCCTTCCTTCCTTCCTTAAAAATATATATTATTGTTGGTAGTATTACAAACATCTTCCATTTTATTTCCCTTTCCCCTCCCTCCCAACCCCTTCCCTGCCCCCAGGTATTCACCTCCCTATTGCCCATGTCCATGGCTATGCATATAAGTATATGAGTTCTTTGATTTATCTCCTCTTGCCCCCAAGTCCCACATCGAGGTATGTCAATCTGTCCCATGCCTCCCTGCTTTGGGTCTTATCTTGTCGGTCAATTCCTTTCATTCATTAGGTGAGATCATTTGATATTTATCTTTCTCAGTTTGGCTTATTCTACTTAGCATAATATTTTCCAGGTCCATTCATGCTGTCCCAAAGGGGAAGAGACCCCTCTTTTTTCAGCTGCATAGTATCCCATTGTGTAAATGTCACACGGCTTCTTTGCTATTCTCTATAATAAAAGGGAAAAATGCAAATTGACCCTAACAGCAGAAGGACCAGGAACAACTGGCTGCTATGACACGTACTGACCACCAGGGGGGCAGATGCTCAACGTAGGAGCTGCCCCCTGGTGGTCAGTGTGCGTCCACTGGGGGAGCACCACTCAGCCAGAAGCCGGCTCATGGCTGGCCAGCGCAGCTGCAGTGGCTGGAGCCTCTCCCTCTTTTGCTGCAGCGCTAAGGATGTCTGACTAATGGCTTAGGCCAGCTTCCTGCCATTACCTGGACATCACCTCAGGGCTCCCAGGCTGCCAGAGGAACGTCCACCTAAGCTGGCAGGTGGACATCCCGATGGGTCCTCTGTTGTGGGGGGAAGGGGGGCAAAGGTCAGGCTGAGGGACCCCCTTTGCCCCCTAGTGCATGGCTCCTGTTCCACAGAGTGATTAGAAGTCATTGGGCTGGTGTGCCCTCCTCCCTTCCTGTTCCCCTTCCTGTTACTATATAACATTTCCCCACATTTCCCAGGTCAGTTCTTGTGTCTTTCCCTGCCTAACGAGGGGGATCTTAGCACTAATGACTATTTCTCTCTTCCAGGTTCCTTCTCTACAAGCTCCTTCCCATCAGCATTTAAACAGGCTCAAATCTTTCATATATTTAAGAGTCTTCACATTCCCCCTAGTGTATGCTGTTCTTATCATAGCTATATCTTTTCTGTGTTATGTATTCCTGTTACTTTTTTACATCGTTATCAGTCTCTCGCTTTTTAGTATGCTGAACTGGTTTCCAGCTTAACTAATTCTGCTACTGAAATTCCTTCAGAAAATCAGAAATGACTTTTTTATAGAGAAATTCTGTGGATACCTTTCAGGATTTATCTTTTTGGTCTCTGGGTGACATTTGTGGTTGGGATCACTTCTTAATTCTTCAAAAACTTTTCCCTAGGCTCTTTGGACAACTCTCTCTCTTGATTTCTCCCCTCCCCCCAATCTCTTTGAATTCTTCCTCTCAGTCTGGTTTGCAGCTACTTCTTTCTCTACCTTTTCCTCAACCCTTGGTTTTCCTAGAAGGTCAGTCCAAAACCCTGCCTCCTGCTCATGGTCACATGTTCCCTAGATGATCTCATTCACCCTTTGGCCTCGAAGTACCATCTATTTGATTATAACTATCAAATCGATACCCCAGATCTTCCTTCTGAATTTCTCTTGGTACCCAACTATCTTCTGGAGACTTCTTCAGTTTCTCATATAAACACCAAACACGGTATGTCTCCAGAAAAGTGACCAGTGTTCCCTCCCAGTGTGCTTCTTTTCCTGTGACTTATAGCAGTGAGTGGCAGCACTCAGTTGTTTAGCTTTGTGTATTTTCCTGGGACATTTCTATTCCCATGTACATATTTGTTTAATGACCCAATGCTGTGAACATTCTCTCTAAATCATTCAAATTCCCTCCAGGCACATGATTCTGATGGACTCTTGGGCTGTTTCCAGATCTTAGCTATTGTAACTAATACTGCCATGAACATAAGGGAGCATATTTTCTTTCTGATTGGCGTTTCAGGCTTCTTAGAATATAATCACAGAAGTGGGATCATTGGGTCAAAAGGCAGTTTCATTTTAAAATTTTTTTGAGAAAACTCCACACTGTTTTCCATAGTGGTTGCACCAGTCTGCATCCCCACCAGCAGTGTATGAGTTTCTTTTTCTCCATATCCTCACCAGCACTTGTTGTTGATTTATTTATGGCAGCCATTCAGGTATGAGGTGATACCTCATTGTTGCTTTACTTTGCATCTCTCTGATGACTAGTGCCATTGAGCATGTTTTCATATGTCTCTTGGCCATTTCTATGTCCTCTCTGGAGAAGTGTTGATTTAGGTCCTCTGCCCATTTTTAATTGGATTGTTTGTCTTCTAATTGAAATAAATTGTATGAATACTTTATATGTTTTGGAAATTAATCCTTATAAGATGTATCATTGGCAAATATGTTTTCCTATACCGTGAGTTCCCTTTTCATTTTTATACTGATTTCTTTTGCTGTGCAAAATCTTTTTATTTTGATGTAGTCCCACCTGTTTATTTTTTTCCTTTGTTTCTCTTGCCGTAGGCGATGTATCCATGAAAATTCTGCTATGTGCGATGTTTATTATTTTGCAACCTATGTTTTCTTCTAGGATTTTCCATTCTGAGTCAGGTTTACTACGGCTTATCTTCCTGTTACATCAACAGTGTAGAAATGTTGCCAAGTACATGTAAATATAATGTAAAATAAACTTAACTATAAAAGATTTTGTATTTATTTATTTTGTGAATCAGTGTACCCATAATCAGAGAGTCTTTTGAAGACTTGGGACTTTTTGTTCATGAATACTATAGCTTTTAATTTCTGAATATTACATGTTTATCCTAGTAAGACAAGTATTTATTGCTGAATAGTTTAAATTCATGTATTTTTAAAATTTCTTTAAATAACACATACATTATTTTACTCGATCCTCATAATAACTTTCAAAGGAGGTAAGGTGCTTTTACCCCTCATTTTTATGGTTTCCTGACTTACATTTAAGTCTTTTACTCATTTTCAGTTTATTCTTATGTATGGTGTAAATTGGTGGTCTAGTTTTTTTCATGTACCTGTCCAATTTTCCCAGCAGCATTTATTGAAGAGACTTCCTTTATTCCTTTGTATGCTTTTGCCTCTTTTGTCAAATATCAATGGAGCATAATAGCTTGGGTAAATTTCTGGATTCTCTGTTCTGTTCCATTAATTTACATGCTATTCCTATGCCAGTACCAGGCTGTTTTAGTTGCCATGGCTTTGTAGTATAGTTTGATATCTGTTACTGTGATATCTCCAATGTTGTTCTTTCTCAAGATTGCTGTGGCTCTTTGGGGTCTTTTTTGGTACCATATAAAATTTTAGAGTATTTGTTCCACATCTGTGAAATATGTCATTGGCATTTAATAGGGATTGTACTGATATTTAGATTGTTCTGGGCAATATGGACATTTTAATCATGTTAATTCTACCAATTTATGAAAATACAATAGTATATTCTTCAACTTGTTTTATATCATATATATATATATATATATATATATATATATATATATATATTAATGTGCTATTGTAAACTGCTTCTTGAATGTTGTTGTCCCATATGTGGATGGAATCTCCTCTCAGGCTGGCTGACTGTGAGGCCCACCCTGACCACATTGTGTGTGCTGACAAAACAGAACACAATACAACAAAACAAAATAAGAAACAAAACAAAGACATACATAAGACCCCTGAAACAACAACAAAAAACAACCACAGAAGAAGAGAGAATTAGGAAGGAGAAAAGCGAGCAAAATGCTAGAAGAAAAGAAAGAAAAAATACAAGGAGAAACAAAAGGGGAATAAAAAGGAATATGGAAGGGCAGAGATTAAATAAAAAAAGAATAAAAATAGGAGAAGGAAATTGTATAAAAGAAAAGAAGAAGAAAAAAATTTTGAAAAGAAAAATAGAGGTGAAAGCAGATAGATCAAAGATAAGAAAAGGGAAAAAAAAGATGAGAGAGCAGGATAAAGAAGAAAATGGAGTAAGAAAGGGAAGAGAAAGATTAGATATATGAAAGAAAAATAGAGACTAAATAATAACAAATCAATAAAGTAGAAAGAAAAAGAAAAAAGAAAAAAGAAAAAGAAGAAGTGGTGTTTGTCTCAGCAGAGTCAGAGCCTCCTGGGAGTTCCCTTTGGATCCTGCTCTTCTGATGACTGCAGCTGACTGTTTTGCCTGCCAATTCCGAGCTTCCCAGGAGGTACTTGGGTGCTAACCACTGTCAGAAACTCTTCCTTGGGCTTTCAGCAACCTGTTTAAAGCTTCTAATGATCCACACTCCGTGCCTGTCTTCACAGGATTTGACTGTGCCCAGAAGGGACCAAGCTGCACTGTAAGGCCAGTTTATTAGCAGTACAGGGCCTCCTGATAGGTCAGCAAACTTCCCCAGGTTTCCCAGGCTCTGCCTCCATTCACGTTCACCTGCCAGCCAGGCTGTTAATCACTCAAAAGTCTGTTTCTGAAGGGTGGAATGGGAATATTGACCCCTGGGTTGCCCATGAGGGAAAGGTGCTATTCAGATTTCAAGGAATATGGTGATTGTGTTTCCCCATCCTAATGCTACTCCTGACAGTTACTTAGAATATTTCCCTCCTTTTGTCTGGGTGGAGATCCTTGTATGCAATCCAGTGGGATCAGCTGGATACCAGAAGTTTCTATCGGCTCACCTGTTGGAGGGAAACACCTGTCAGGTTCCCAGGATAGTGGGGCGGAGGGCCCCTACCCACAATCCAGTCACTGATGCTCCTTGAGAGGGTTCAAACCTGTGGGCATGGCTTCTGCTGCTGTCTCCTCCTCTGCAAAGTTCAAGTGCAGGATGTGGCAGGCGGGACCACTGAGGGTGGTGGGGCAGGCTGTATTATCTTTTCTTGATACATCTGTGGCTTCTGGGAGAGGCCAGCTCTCTCTGGAGAAATGGTTGTTTCAGTTTGGGGTGGTACGATTGAATGGAGGTCTCCAGGCTAGTGCTTTTGCACATCCTCCCCCAATGCTTCCCAGCCCAGCTTCTCCTCGGGCACCTTGCGTCAGCACTGTCCTCCCTCCACTCAAGCCTCAGGTGAGTAGCTGCAAATGAAAATCTTGTGTTCTGGATTAAGAACAAAACAACCCCCCCACCCTCCTCAGGGTTTATCTACTATTGGCTCTGGTCTCCCCAGCAGCCAGAAGCCATGCCCCCTTTCATGGCTGGATGTTACGTGGGCAACTGTTCGTGGCTCTGTTGTCTTGGGCTGTGGAGTCCAGCCTGAGTTTGGGCCTTGATTTTCTCAGGGAAATAACCCTCCCACAGTTGAGAGATCCCTCTTCTCTCTTGGCCTACTGCCCATGGAACCCCTCTTGGGACCTCAACCTTTCTACCACCCTCCAGGTACCTTCGGTCCTTCCTTGATATAATCTCCTCAGCTGGTCCTCAGCAATTCCAGGTGAATGTAGCTCAGGTTAGTTGTATTTCCAGTCTGGCCCTGGGAGGAGGTGCAGACTGACTATTCGGCTGCCATCTTCCCTCCAACTATTATTTATTTTCTGCATCAAGTCAGCCCAGATATGAAACTCAGTTTTTCTCATAACTTTCAAAGAGTTTACTGAAGTAATTGTGAGTGTGAGGAATTGACTGAAACCAGAGTGGAAGGGTATTGGTGGGAATCGTGGAGAGTTTTATACTGTAGCAGTGGAGAGAGCTTCAAATGGAACCTACAACCACCAGGGATCTCTAACTTGTCCATTGCAGTGATCCTTTTCTCTAATTATTTTTCTTAACTCTCTAGCAAAACTCAAATTCTTGTTCATCTTGTGCAAAACCATTTAGCTAGTCTCTGACCTGTCTTTCTGATCCATGCCTTCAGCTCTCATTTTCCTTCAAATAGGTTATTGAGATCCGTTGCCTGTCAAAGGCGGTTCATTGATTAAAATAATGCTTTTTACTTTATTTTAATTTCTTACTGATTTTTTTAGAGGGAGAAAAGAAGTATATACTCATCATGTCTGGTAGGAAACTTGTACCATGATGCTGTGTAATTATTATATGTTGAATATGATCCCCAATTGTTTCATGCTTTCAGAAGAAAACACTTCATGGGGTCAGCTTTGTATATGGTTGGTTGGTACTGCTTATGGAAGGGTTCATATAAACACTCTCTTCTCTTTGACTCTATCTTTCCACTTCCTACACCCCTGGCCTATTTTCTAATATTCTGTTCTTCCTACCCCTACTAATACATGTACAACAATAAAAAGAAGAGGAAGTATTTATGTCCCCAAATTGTATAAACTTAATAAGGACTAAGAAATCATGATGTGAAATAAGTGTGGGGAAAAAAAAGAATTGTGTGTGTGAGAGAGAGGAATATCAATTTGTTGTTTCACTTATTTATTTGTGCATTGGTTGATTCTTGTATGTCCCTACACTGGGGAATCAAACCCACAACCTTGGCATATGGAGACAACGCTCTAACCAATTGAACTACCTCACCAGGGTTAAAATAATGCCTCCCAAAGCTCATTATGATTCTATAATTCATTCCTTCATTTCCTTCATTCAATAAGTATTTTTCAGGTGTGCGGTGTGATAAGCACTGTGAACACAGAAGTTAAGAGGATGGGGTCCTTTATCTTAAAAAACTTAGTCTGGTCGGGAAATAGATGCTTCATGAAGAGGTATACTGGTATTTATAGAGCTGAGAAGGTATGGGAGATTAGTTTAAAAAGGTAGGAAGTAGTTGTAGTGGTATTTGAAAGGGAAGAAGACTTGTTTGTAGCCAGGTCAGAAATTTACAGAAGAAGCACATGGATAACCTTGGATGCTGAAGTTGAAATAGTTTTATGTTTGGGGTGGGTTGGGGTGGGGTGGTGGCCTTTTAGAAGGAGTTAATAATGTGGTACAACAGAAATTCTAATGGTCTAGGTATATCAGTTGTAAATCTAACTCCCCCCACTAACTAAAAGATGACCATGAGCAAACTGTATTACTTCTGGGATTTGGTTTATTTGCTTTTCAAATGAGGGGAAAAGCACTTTTCTTCCTTTGCAAGTTGCTGTTAGGAGCAAGTGAAATAATGTATGTGTTATTTAAAGAAATATACAAAGTACAGGAATGTAAGCTATTCAGCAATCATTACTTGTCTTGCAAGGATAAAAATGTAATGTTCAAAATTTAAAACTGTAGCAATCATGCACAGAAAGTCCCAAACCTTCAAAAGATTCCATGACTATGGGTACACCAATTCACAAAGTAAATACACAACCTTTTATAGTCAAGTTTATTTTATATTATATTTTCATGTATTTGGCAACATTTCTACACTGTTGATGTAATAGAAAGATGAGCTATAGTAAACCTGACCCTGATTTTTTTCCAACCTGAGTAGATTGGAGGTGATGAGTCTAGGATTTTTAATACCGATGGTGCCTCCAAGTTTTGGTCCATTTAATCTCATGGTGCATTCTGCCAGGCGAGAGTCCTCCTTTGTATGTGTGTTTAATTATAAAAGAATGCTTTCAAACTGTGAGTCAATTTATGAACAGCAAACTGTAACATTTCTGAAGGCCACACAGGAACAAAAAGGCAAACCAAGATCTACAGAAATGACTCTAAGCCATTAGCTGGCTCTGGGCTGAAGTTGTTTCAGGAAATATTGCTAAAGGTACAGAGTAACTTTAAAACACAAAGTCTACAGGATAAAAAAAAGTTAAAAAGTACTCCTATTGATGTAGATTGGTATATAATTCTCAAAAGAAACATTTTAGAATACATTGGGCTTAGAAATAATGTGGTAAGATTATTTTTTCAAATATAGAATGAACTATTATTTGCAATTCAACTTTTTGTGTTTTATAAAAGCTCAGTGCATAAAAATCTAACTTAATATCTCATAATCCTTTAAAAATTAAAAACTTCTAAAAACATTTTAAATAAGGAAAGTAATAGTGAATTTAAATATTATAGTTTTAATTACATGTTTTATAAAGGTTTTTTAATATTTAAAATATAATTTGAGAAACAAGGTTGCTTAAAACTGTTTTATTTAGTGGATTTCAGTGTGTCTTAATTAAAATTTATTTATTTATTTACCAAGTCAAAGTTTAAAATGTAGCCAGTACAGGACAAACATAAATATTATAGCTAAAACAAATAATGAACTTGATTCGGTCTTTTTTTCAATACTAGTGTTAAAAACAGAATATGAGACTCCGCTCCTATTTTAATTCAAAATGACTCATGGAGTCTAAGTATAAACGATAATTTTACTTATACCTAAAAATCAAATATTTCATAGAATTTCAAAACTATATTACAAAATAAAGCAGAAACCTCTAGCATTATGTTTCTAGGATTTGATAAAGTGTTTGGCTGACAGATTTAAAGTAACAATATGAATATTATGTAAAACTTTTATTGGATCAGATGAAGGTTTAGTTTTAGTATCATGTAAGAGTAATTGAAATATGAACTGATGTTTTATTGTTTTGAACATGTTGAATAATAAGTAATCATTAGTTAGGCCAACTTCATTCAAGATTAGTGCAATTATGAAATTATTAAGTTCTATGAAAATGGCTTTGGCCATTTGATCTAGTATTGACTAAACATAAATGGACTTATTTATAGAAATTTTTCTCTTCCAAGAGAACTTAAAAAACTTTTATGATTAAATATTTTATTTCCAACCTTTGGAAAAGAGGGAATACATTCCAAGAAGAATTACACAACAACCCTATAGCAATAAGTATTCTCATATAAACACAGTATTCTCAAGAGGGTATGAAAGGAAAGATGTCTTAAAAATTATGGTGATTTAATTTTATTTTGCCCTAGAATGACATTCTCTTGAGTATTTGTGAAAATGAAGATGAATATGCAGGGATACATTCGGTTGATTTTGTGCCAGATGGCCAGTTGCAGAGGCTGAACTAAGCTGAACTGATTGATTCGTTTTTGCCATATTGCATGCTGGCGTTTACCACAGTTCACATCATTCAAGTGGGAACATATTTGGTAGTTCGTTGTTTTTTTTAACCATTTCTTAAAAACTTTTTTTTTTTGAGTGACCTCTGCTTTAAATACATTTTTTCCTGTTATATCAAATGGTCAGTTCCAGTAAACAATCTCTTAAGTTTAACTGTAATAGAAAAAAAAAGTTATGCTTTCAATGTACTATTTTGTGATCATAAAATAAATTATTCATATTGAGAGATAAATATTTAAAGTAAATAAAAAAATCCACTTGTCTTTTAGGGGGAAAATTTTAGGGGAAATTCATAGTGAATAATAATTATGACTTAAATGAATGAAGTCCACAATAACTTTAAAGGAAAATAGGAGCATAGTTCCTACCTTCAAGCTGCTTGTGTACTAATAGGGAGAAGAAAACAAATGTCAAATCTATTTTAATATTGTTGCTGTAACAAGTAGGTATATACACATATTAGACATAGTTACTTACTTAATAATCTATAGAAAAGCTGCATGATTAAAAAGTGAAAATATAAATGACCGGGGTCCCAATTAGTCTATTTTAACAACTCTATCTTAGTAGCCTCTTGGGGTATTTTGACATTTTCTCATTTATTGTGATTCTTTGTTTTATTCATCAATATTTATCTGAAGGGAAAGAGAGAGAGAAGTTCAAAATATGCAAAATCTAGGTCTCTTTATATAGGTTACTTCCGGGGTCTAATATGTGAAGGCTTTGGATATGAGCTATTTTATAGTGACTCGTAATTTAAAAAGCAAACAATGGCAAAAGCAGTTACCAAAATCCTGAAGAAAAAAAAAATCTCCAAAGGACTCTTGTGCTAGGGTGAGTGATAAAGGCAATGTATATGTCATCCATAGGCATTAAACTCAAAGGGATAATTGCATTTTCACAACTTTGGTGTCTTCCATTTTTAAGATACATTTCATGGGTCACCAAACAAAAAATTGAACATTTAGCATAGTTTTAAAGTCTTCCCACCAAGAGTAAGATGTTCTTGTTACTAAGCAAAGCAAACCTTTAGAAAAATGAAAAAGCAAAAGAACAATCATAAACCTAAATTTTTTTTAAAAAAAATTTTAATTACAATAAAGGACTTTGAATTCCTTATTTTAATTCCCCTTATTCCTTATAACAGGAAAATATAATCTGAAAAATACTTAAAATTTTCTCTGGGCATGAGATATTAAGTTTTGAATTTTTGGTTCTTCTTTCCCCACAGAAATTTTAGTGCAAATTGTAGGAAAACGAAATGGATTTTCTCAAGGTGCACAAGGCCAAATTCTAATCTATTTTAGTTCTCATTTATATGTTTATCAAGATTGTGTGATGTCTTCTGTGAATGATGAGTGTGAGAAAAATTGAATAAGGAAACAGATTTTATTGTGAAAAGGGGCTAAAAATAGCATTACCTAGGAATGAAATTTGGCCTTTCATTATTTGAATTGAGAGGGAAAAACTTGCCAAATTACTCTGAGAAATTAGTGTGTGTGTCTTTTTCATCTTCTGAAACTTGAGACTGACCGAATATATAAATCTCCACTCTGCCAAAAATTCCCATGGCACCCACGTTACCTCTGGTGATTTGGTGAGGCCAGCAGAGCAGCCGGCACAGCAGACGATAGGATTGAAAGAGATTAACGCAGTGAACCTGCAGTACTTTATTGACCTAGGTTCCCACATTAACCTGATCTGATCCTGTAATTACTCTGAATACAACAGGGCTTACAGTTCTCCTTAATAACACCCCATGCTTTTTTATTCTACAGAGAGATTTTGTACTCATATTCTTTACTCCTTTTCAGATTTGCAGATTTGTAGCAAGAGAGAATGTGTGTGGCTTTGCTGACACACCAGGAGAGAAACATACCTAATGTTCATGGGCTCTAAGTGACATAGTTTAACCTGTCCACGTTTTTGTTGTTGTTTTGTTTTGTTTTTTAAACCGTAACTTGAAGGTTTTGTCTCCTATTTTCAGTTATCCTAATTTCCTCCTGCACTTGAGTTAGTAAAACAAAATACCCGAGTACAAAACACTGGCTAAGTGTGAAGGAAGATTTGGCATTCAACTTTGAGAATGGTTAAAATACTATAATTTCATAGCCTTTTCCAACTTTTAATATATATATATATATATATATATATATATATATATATATTTAAAATTATATTGAAAACCTTTCCTTATTTTAACCTATTCAGAATGATATATAGTCAGAAAGATCATGTATATGAGTGATATACAA